GTTTTAAAATGCCTCTTAAATTAGCTTTATTCTCCTTTGTTCCTAGGTGCATAATTTAACAGGTCTCTCTGTTAAATGTGAAATTAATTGGAACATAAAGAACGTAATATAGGTGCTTTTAAAGAGCTCATACGCACATCTCATTTGACTTTACAGAGTCTTAACAGCCCAGCTTAACTTAGCAACGACCTTGCACACTCATGGCCATTCTCCAACACCTCTAACCTACACAGGCTGCACTCATAAATACTGATGTGACAAGTAGGAAGACTCATAGTCACACATGCATGCACAAGCAGCATCCATAGTCATCCACATAATCAACTCTCTCTCTCTCTGTGTCTCTCTCTCTCTCTCTGTCTGTCTCTCTCTCTCACACACACACACATGCACGGACTGGCCTTAGGAGAAAAAGACGTCCACTTTGAAATGAAAATAAATAAATCATATCGGCCTGATTGAAGCGCCGCTCCGCTCACAGCTACAAACATAGCATTACTGTGACAACGTTGTCCCTCCTGGGCTCACGAGTCTATTTGCAGAAGAGTATTAAATTGAACTCAGTCATCCAAAAAGCCCGGTGCTCCCAAAACAAAATGCCTTCCCCTCACCACTCTTTCCTTTCCTTCTCTCCTCCTGTGCTGCTGACTTCAGCTGGACAGAAATTCACTATTAGAACCTCTTTTTCTTTCTTTCCTTCCCTGTTTTTATCTCTGCCAGCCATCAGTTAAAAGGCAGTTAAACACAAATAGAGCATTTAGTTTGGGGTTTATGCAGCAAGAAACAAGTCATAATCTGAATTTTATCAAGCCCATAAAGTGTGTTCCAGCAGCAAAATGGGACATGCTTGAGCCACCATAAAACAGTCCGTGCTGGCTGGAGTAACAAATCATACCTTCGTTCCTTTGCTGCACACTTTATTACGACTCTCATATTATTATACACGACAACGCAAGAGGGAAAGAATTTTCAAAGGACAGAAATAAATCCACCATTTATGCTTACATATACTGTTATAAAACTTACTCCTATTCCTCAATAGACAAGCTTTTTGTTCAGCGTCACATTTAGCTCGGGAGCTGCTCAGATATTATACCGCTCCCTATAACCCCACCATCTCTCCCTCCTCTCTCTCGCTCTCTCTCTTTGTCATTGTCTCGAGCTAAAAACTGCCACAGTAGGAACACTACACAGTTTTAGCTCAAGGACAACATTCTTTCAGTGGCAGATATTAAAGCTGATACATAGAACAAGCTTTTCTCTGAATTATGAGTAAAAGCAGCGAGGATGTTGCATCCCCACTTCCCCCAAGGCAAACACAAATCTCTTCTGTCAGTGTCTAGCAACCAGTGCATTGCTACACTTTGTGTATGTTTAAGCTTGAATAAATCGTCGCACACGTACAATTCATACTGTCTTTCTAGCATCCTGTCTTTGGCTCATCCTTTTCACTTCCAAGGGTGGCCTGGGTTTTATGGCACAAAGGAATTCTCTGATGCTCGCCATAAAATTTGGCTTCTCGCAAGGCCCACAGCACGCCAAATCAGCCCGTTTATGGAGGATTTTGTAATCAACAGCCTGATCCAGCATATGCGGTTAACCCCCTGCCTCCCTGAGTAGTGTGAGAAGAGGAAATAGACTGCCTTTTTTTTCTTTCTGGCATATTAGCCTTCTTTGAATGTGACAGTCGAGGGAGTGAGGTGGGCAACGCCTGTCCTCTTAACAGGATTACACTGTGAACAGAGCCACAGGATATGCGCACATAGAGAGCACAGAGACTCTACGCTTTACACTAGTGTATACAGTCAAGACACCACACTGGCCTCTGTGTGTGTGAGTGTGTGCGAGATTGAGATGCTGTCAAGCACTCACACACATACATATGAGTGTATGTTATCTCAGTTACCCCCAGGGAAGCAGCTCTCTTCAGAAGTGTGTGAAGCATAAAGATTCTGTTGGAAGGTCTGATTCCTTTCTGCAGGGCAGAACTGGGACAGTTAATGAGGGTGAAATTGCTGTGCCACTACTACACTACTGCCCCTTGCTAAGCTTTCTGAAGATTGCACTATTGTAGGCCAGTTATGTCCATCCACTGAGTCTAACATCACAGCGCCGTCTCTTCAAAGTAGGATAAAGATGTTTAAAGTGTGAACTCACAGACAGAGATATGGTGACCCATGCAGGATAAAACACTTTTGGATGTCACGGCTGGCCAGTCATGCTCAGTTCAGTGTGTTTGTTTCCTTAGAGTGCTTTCACACCTATTAGTCAGCAGGTCAAGGCTGTGGGCTATTGATAAGATGATTATGAGTTCAAATCCAGGCACTATCCCGCTGCCATTGGACCCCTGAGCATGACCCTTAACCATGACCTGCTCAGCTCAATTGTAAGTGGCTTTGGATAAAAGCGTCTGCCAAATGTTTAAATGTCAAATGTAAATGTATTAGTCAGTTTGCCGAGTCTGAATCAGACTGAAATTGGTATTTTTGTTTTGTTTGCTATTTGGTTCGGTTTCACATTATGCATAAGGAAATGACCCGAAAAGCATTAGCTGAGGGGCATGTAGACGGGGACAGGGCTGAGAACATAATCATAAAATGTTTGCAAAATCTACTTATTAGTTGGTAAAAAGGTAAACAAACCTTTAGTAAGCACACACTGAAATCATGGAAGTGACCCGAGCACAGACAGCACGGAGCCAGTGCTAAATAAATAGTGAAAAAAGAACAAAAATGACCAGTTTAAAACATTTTGTGTACTGTATCTAATTTCTTTTCACGTACACACATCTTTCTTTTTCTGTTGGTAAGAACACATTGTATTTGTCCGGCACTTCAGTTCTGTCTCCCAGCTCATATTTGGTTCAGTTTCTGCAGTTGGAAGAATTCAGAGTCAAATCTCTTTCTTCCAATGGAACTATGCTAGAGATAGCTTAAAAGCAGACTTAGTTCAGTTCAGATGGTCTCAGATCTGTTGTTTTGGTTCATACCCAAGTGCGAATGCTGTGTTCTTACTTGGCTGAAAGAATTGCACTGAGAAGGTAAATGCACCAGGGTTCAAGTTAAACAAAGTAAACACTGCACATGAGAAAGCACTGTTAGCCTCAGCTTTAGATGATCAGTACGATGTGTATTGTATACGTATAATACTACAATTATAAGAATATTGCCCATTACAATCGTATCGGCTATCCAGGCCTGCATGTTTACACACTTCCCTGCAGCAGAACAATTGAACATGGTGACAAAAACTATTCTGAGCAATATATATAGTCACCTGAGGCTCACGGCAGCTTGTCCCAAGCTCAGATTCTCTATAGGTATGGTGTACGAGACTCCAGTAAACCACGCGGTTTCCAGGTTGCTGCATGCTAGTCTGATCCATGGTCGGCCATTTGCAATAAAGTTCAAAGCAGACAACTCTTGATCATGTTGAGTGATGAACACTACCAGACTTTCTACTGATAGATAGTCTATTGTTGTCTAGACTTTGGAGAGAGCACATACAGCACTCTATTTCCTTTCTGACAGATTCATCTTCTATTAGGTTTGGTGCGAATCTTCACTCTACTCTTCCCCTCTGTACAAGCTATTCCAGCTTCTGAAAAAGCAGTCTTTAACTCTGTATAGCAGTGCACATTAAACTGGTCTTGTCTCTCTTGCTCCTTTATTTCCTTACCTAAAATGGCTGAAGTCAGATTTAGTCATGGTAGATGTAGTCTGATATGGAGATACTTAGAATTACTTTCTCATTTGCTTTTTTATCCACAATGTTTGCCTCCCAGGGTGCTTCATGGCCAAGAACTAATATACGATTCATGTATTCGTGCCCTCCAGCATTGCAATGACGTGCTGCCTTTACATCCTGAACAATTAATGTCCACTAAATCGAGACTACAATGCAGCGGTCCCACTGGGTCGTGTAGGCTTAGTTCTCCTGGGGTATTCTGAGTGAGATTATAGAACGTGACTAGTCTCAGATCAGTGAACAGTCACGGCCTAAGAACTGTAGTTGAATTGCTTTTACTTTTGCATGCCCGCCCACTAATGGTTTATTGATTGTGTATGTAGTGGACTGTTGAGTGCACATGTCCCTCTCTCTACTTCTATCTCTTACTCTTTCTCCATCTGCCTGTCCTCTCTGGAGAAGGGCCAGGACTGAGGGACTGATGCACTCAGGGGTTTTAACAGCACAGAAGGCTGCACGCCACCCAGAGCCAAGGTCATGCTGTGATGCCATATTGTATTTTATGAGAAGATGGGCAGCAATAAGTACTGATATGGTCTCATGGATGATTTATCGCCCCTGGTGACAGCATGCAGATCTGATTCAAGCAGGTCTCCAAAATCTTTTTTTTGGGCCTTTAGTGATACACATATCATGCATAAGCTAGCACAGATGACAGGTCTTTTATAAACACAATCAGTGTGTGAAGGTAACTGACCTAAGCTTTAGGCATAAAGGCAGTTATGGAACCCAACAATCTGTTGCTTATTACTGTATAAAATTGTATAAAAACAATTCTGTCTCTTGTATTAGATCTGTATTAAGTAATTAGCTTTATTCTCTTTTTCCTTTCCATACAGGTGACCCCAGTAGCTGGGCCTCCAGAAGGGGGCACCAGGGTGACTATTCGTGGGGTGAATCTGGGTCTGTCTTTCTCTGAAATGGAAGATAACGTGCAGGTGGCAGGAGTACGGTGTACCCCAAAAGAGGATGGCTACATCATTGCAGAACAGTGAGTCCTTAAATAACCATGAAACCAAACCTGAATCCACAATGATCTGATCATCATTTAAACAAGGTTATTTTCAGAATGTCAGTGTCGTTGTTTTTGCTCGGCTGCTCCCGTTAGGGGTCGCCACAGCGGATCATTGGTCTGCATATATGATTTGGCACAGTTTTTACGCCGGATGCCCTTCCTGAAGCAACCCTCCCCAATTTTTATCCGGGCTCAGGACCGGCACTGGGAGCGCACTGTCGTGTGCCACTGGGGTTGGCTCCCTGGCCGAGAATCAAACCTGGGCCGCGACGGTGAACGCGCCAAGGCCTAACCACTACTCCACCAGGGACCCACTATTTTCAGAATGTCAATAATTCTTTTAAATTAAACTGTGTCACGTTTGGAACAAAAATCTAGTTTAGCTCATCTTTGATCTGTCTCGAAATAGAATGCACTGGAAAAACACAATGTCCTACATAAACCCCCCTGCAGAACAGAAAAAAGAATCTGTTACAAATAGAACACTCTTGCTAACACACTGGAAGACAACATAGTTTATAGACTAGTCAGAGTCAAAAGCAGCCAATTAGAGCTGTCATAGCAGTAAGACGTGCTAGCCACTCCATAAGGGGTGTTCAGGGGGTTCTGCTTTGCTCTGCTGAACCTGCTGGCAGTTTTCCTCACACAGGAACATCTTCACAAAGGCAGTACAAACAACTCATGATGGACAGCTATCCTGAAGATTACGTTCACAGCCATCTCCAACAGGGGAAAAAAAGGCTAATTAGAGCAGAGGCAGACCTGGCTAGTCTCCTTCCGCTGGGAGATTGCTACCCACCCTACCTCCCACTCCCTCACTCCTCAATAATCACTCAGCATCTGTTTGTGTTTACTTGTTTGCTGAATGGCTAGTTAACCTAGCTTTTACAGGCTTCTGCAAATATCTCCAAGCCAGCACCTTGTAGGTCAACAAGAGCCCCTACTGAATACAGAAATATGGAAAGTTGTTCATAGGTTATCATTGATTATTTAGATTATTTATAAACTAAAAATATATGAAATACCAAAAAATTATTTATGCTTATTTCTTTCCAGCAATTCAATCAACTAATACTACTACACTCACCATCCACTTTAATAGGAACACATGTACACCTGCTATTTATGCAGTTATCTGCAGCCAATCATGTGGCAGCAGCACAATGCATAAAATCATGCACATACAGATCAAGAGCTTCAGTTAATGTTCACATCAAACATCAGAATGGGGGAAAAGTGTCATTTCTGTGACTTTAACCATGGAATGGTTGTTGGTGCCAGATGGTTTGTGTATTTCAAAAACTGCTGATCTTCTGGGATTTTCACACACAACAGTCAGAGTTTACACAGAATGGTGCGAAAAACAAAAACATCCTGTTTGTGGAGGGTCTACAAGCTGAAACACCTTGTTGATGAGAAAGATCAGAGGAGAATAACCAGCCTGGTTTGAGCTGACAGGAAGTCTATAGTAAGTCAAATAAGCACTCTTTACAACCGTGGCGAGCAGAAAAGCATCTCTGAGGCTATCATGGGCACAGACTCACCCAGACTGGACAGTTGAAGACTGGAAAAAGGTGATTTTCTCCAGATGATTTTTTTTCTAATCTTCAACTGTCTGGTTTTGAAGAGTCTGTGCCAATGACAGACTCAGATTCCTGTTCTTGACTGACAGGAGTGGAACCCAGTGTGGTTTTCTGCTGTTGTAGCCCATCCCCCTCAAGGTTAGAGATGCTTTTCTGCTCACCACAGTTGTAAAGAGTGATTATTTGAGTTACTATATCCTTTCTGGCAGCTTGAGCCAATCTGGCCATTTTCCTCTGACCTCTCTTATCAACAAGGTGTTTCCACCCACAGCTGTTGCTCCCTGAGTGTTTTTTGTTTTTTGCACCATTCTGTGTAAATTGTAGAGACTGTTGCGTGTGAAAATCCCAGAAGATCAGCAGTTTCTGAAATATACAAATCAGCCCATCTGGCACCAATAACCATGCCATGGTTAAAGTCACAGAGATCAGACTTTTTTCCCCATTCTGATGTTTGATGTGAACCTTAACTGAAGCTCTTGACCTGTATCTGCATCATTTTATGCATTGTGCTGCTGCCACATGTTTGGCTGATCGGATAACTGCATAAATGAACAGGTGTACAGGTGTTCCTATTAAAGTGGACAGTTAGTGTATAGAACTCTTTAACAGGTTTAATTAATTAACAAGTCACTACCTATAGTGCAATATTACTGACATTCATCAAACAGTCTGTCATGGAATAAGAATATTATCAAGTGCATATATGACGAACACTTTTTTTTTTTCGAATCAGACAACCAAATTAAATTAAGGTCATGGTATTCAGTATATTTTACTGGTTCACTGGTCTCAGTCACTGGAAGAGGGTCTTACCTGCATTTCAAGCCCTGATTTGTTCAATTACAACGAGTCAAATTAAAAATAAAGGCCATTTTCCACTGGCTGTCTCGCTAACTGAAGCACTGGGATGCTAAATTTATTTTTGTTTGGCATGTGTGCCATTTTGCAAAGTCTAATTATTTCTCATATTAAAACGCAAGTTACAATATGAGGCTATGCCGAGTGTAAAGTAAAGTGTTCCCACATTTTGGAGGACTACGGTTGTACTGTTTTCTTTGTTGTAATGGCATTCTCTGTCATTTTAATCAAATATGTCTTTAATCAAAGTGAAGTGACGTAGTGCATGGCACAGCATGCTTCATAACATAACATAGACCAACTAATCAATATGTGACCTCTGGGGCTCCCGAGTGGCATAACAGAAAAGCGTTTGCCCTATCATCCGGAGGTCGTGTGCTTAAATCCCGGCAATGCCCCAGCCATCTGTGGCTGGGAGAGCAAGTCTATCAATCACAGCTACGCTAGCCAATAATGGGCTTCTTTAAGCTCATGCTGCATGATATGATAGGTGAGATATAACTGGTGGGTATTGGCCAAGACTAAATTGGTAGAGAAATTTGTTGCCAACTATATTTATTATCTTATTTATTGATTAGCTGTTCTAGCACTAGTCCCTATCAAATAAACAGATCTGTATTCTACACTTGGGATCAACCCCCATTCTCTTTGAGCCATCACTTTTGCATAGTCTCTTTGATTCAAAATGGACACGAAATTAATAAAGGGCGTAAAACGCTGTGTAATCAGGCAAAGGCTTCTGGTGCTAATAAGGTAGGCTATTAATTAGTGAATACTGAGTATATACACACCACCCTCCGCTTGAGTCTACACCTTAATGTCATGGGTACTGCAGTCTTATTTACACGTTCTGAAGCGTGATCACACATGGCCATTTGTAGAAAGATGCTCATGCTGAATGTACAACATAGCTGCTATAACGTGCCATGGCCTTTTAAGGTTGAGTGAATTACAGGATTCTGTGAACTTTACAATTGACAGTGTTTTTATACCATGACCTTATTTCAGAGCAAATCTTTAGAGATGTAGAAGGTTAGCCTTGACTCCAAGCCTGGGATACAGCACACTGGGTGCAGAATTTTCTCTTGCCCTGTGTGTGTTGTTTTTTTGAGGATCTATAAATAGTTCCTGTCTGTGCATCCATCCTGGTTTCTTTTCCCGTGCAGCATGTCGTAGGGGCAGAAGCAAGCCAGGGCAGCTGTAATTGAAATGCGTGACGTGCAAGGGAGGAGATTTGTCAGTCCTCCTCGCCTCTGACAGCAGTTTAATCCAAGCAGGATAGAGCCGGGGTGAATTCATTTGTATGGAGCTGTGGAGGAGTGTCAGGAGGAAATGAGGAAAGGGGCTACACATGATACTAGAGCCTACGAAGCAGAATTTCTCCGCTGTGTAGCCTCTAGAGCCATTACGTCACCCCCAAGTACCATCAGCTCCAGTCATTTATCTTAGGCTGGCACAGAGCTAACGCTGCTGCTTAGAGCTGCTTTCAGAATGTAATAGAAGGTGTATTTGTATGCAGTCGCATTACACCTATGTGTGTATATCCTAAAACTGTAGAGTAACACCAGCAAACATGCTATATGCACTAAGCTAGCATGACTGCATTGCAATCTTTACTACTCTCCACAAGTGCCAATCGATGAGTGGCACATTTTTATTATGTCATTTGATCTGGCCACCTTCCTGCACGGGTGACATCAGATCAGAGCGTATGATAAAACAGTATTGATCTGCTGCAGCTACTCATTGTGATTTACACAGGCCTTCAGCTCTCTGTTAGGGGCCTTATTTATGCCACAGCAGGGTGCAAACATTACGAGGACGTGGCAGACTTCTGCTTTGGATGCCCATGCAGGGGCCAATACCTCTTGATTGAACATCTGTGGCATAGTAATTGAGCACCGAATGGCACAAATACAGTAGTATTGACAGGAAATCAACTTAGAAGGCTGGACCTGTAATTGCCTCCAATGATTCATCATACAGAGATGCCAACATTTAAGATTTGTGATACACTTTTCTTCATTTTCAGCTAAAGCACCACTCAGACCAATCGTGAATAAAATTCACCTGGCAGAAAAGCTAATTCACTGAAAGGGAAAAGGGTGCGTGATGTGAAAGGGGCATGTGCTTCTTGTAGCAGTTGATTTTGCTTCTCAACAGCTTTATCTAGGTGAACTTTTAACCTGTAAATTCACAATCATCAGGCTTGTGAGTCTATAGAAAGCAAGTGGGTGGGACTGTGGTCTTTCTGTGCTCTCTTCTAGAGTAATTATTAAATAGCACCAGACCTTTGCTTCACTTTTTCTGGGGAAAAAAAATCTAGCTAACATTATCCCTGTTTTCCAAAATCACGTTACCATTCGCCTGAATCACCAGCATATAAAATAGCCTTGAAAATAGCATTGTGAAAATGAACATGAAACGTACTACAGACTGGATATACACTTTTGTTCATTTTTTAACAAATGGATAAAGTAATATACATTCAGCTGGTTTGCTTATAAATCTAAACCTTTCTGTAGAATGTAGTTAAATGCAAGTTCAGCCAATATGTTTCATTGTTTATGCTATCATGAAGTTGTCCCATTCACGGACATACACTAGGAGTTTTGCCTGCTAGGATTTTCATGTTGGCAATGTTGACACCTGTGCATCATAGATAAGTGTCCTACAGAAAACAATCCTAAATACAATGCTCTAATTGCTGTGAATTTGACGTGCATTTTCAGGATAGTGTGTGAGATGGATGCAGCTCCAGAAGACACCAAGGCCGGTCCTGTGCAGCTATGCGTGGGAGAGTGTAAGCCCGAGCTGCAGGCTCGCTCTTCCCAGCTCTACTCTTTTGTGGTAAGGATTCAAATCCCAG